TGCTGGTTCTCTCTAATTAACCCTTCAACCTCTCAAAATATGAAACCAATTCTTAATAAAACGTCCTATGGTCACCCAGTTTTAAATTTACAGGTGCGAAAGTTGCTTTTTTCTCTGTTTTCGGATGCATGAGGAAGGGCTTCGTTGATAAAAATCGTTTCTTCATATTATTGCCGCCATGTCATGTTCCCATATTGGTTGCTCATCAGTATCTCTTAAATATCTTAAATCCTTAAATTTGTTTTGGAATGAATGTAAGAAGCTGGATTAAAATCAAACATGTACCGCGCATTTATTTTGCTGTAGTTCAGTGGCGAATAAGAGCAAAGCTCCGACACTATATATTTTTTTCCTAGCCCAGTTGTTTTTTTATTTATTTGCATTATTTTGATCTAGCGGGAATCGTCGATTTTCCCAATTATTCAATTTTAGTGCACGAGTCCAGGTCTTTGCTTTAATTTATAATAATTTCAATAAATAAAATAAAATATCAAAGCACATGGAATTTAGCTTAAATTAATCTAATAATGAATGTAAATAAGAAGGGTTTGAATGCAAGACACTTCACCCTTCACTTGGGAACGTTTGCAAGCACCCAGACATTCTTTGCTATGACAAATGGCATCTTGTTGGGAAATCTGAAGCTCGGAGGGCGCTCCAAGGGAGGCGACATTCAAGGCCCACCCATGCTAGGCAACACCGAGCGAAATCTCTTGCTCAATTTCAGTGCCATCCGCCCAATTGCCTCGGTCGCCTCCAGAGAGAAATTCTGCAATGTTTGTGTTGCGTGAAGCAATGGCTGGCGCCGCTTCGGGACTTGTATTTCTAGCGTTTTGTTCACAGTTTGGCTATTCGAGACTAAGTGGAAAAACAAACATTTCTTTGCGCATTTGTGCCTTTTAAAAGACTGAGGATTTACTTTATGAAATGAGGTGTAATAGAAAACTTGAAGTATCAGGAATGTAGGCACTCAAGCTGTTAAATTATTATACGTTATTATTAATGCTTATGTTGAATTATTTACCGATATTATTCATTCTTGAATACAAAAGCATCTTCTGTCCCGCCTTTGTTTGTCCAAAGCAATAAAAACAAAATAAGAGTGGTATAAGTGTATTACTTTTGATACCTTAATTGTCTTATTATCCTCCATACCGGATTGAAAATGAAGAAACTCCGGTAAGGATAGTATTAATGCTATCATGTCTCAGAATTTCCGTGTCAAACAGAAGGAATATGGACATCCGATCTTTAAAAAAATAAACTTATACGTTGGGACCTGTCAAATAGTATGCCTCCCACCGGATTGATGAGAAACAGCGCCCTTTTTTACCACAAAATCTTCCTCCGGATTTCTTCCTCGGAACGGAAAGTTCACGCCCCGAAATGTGCTTGTCCGTGTGAGCTCAGTGAACGGATTGTCGGCCAGCAGGCCTAATAAATTGTGGCTCGCTAATCTAAGCGTGCATCAGGTCTCGGCCTCCGCCGCTGCGATCGCCTTCGGCGAACCACAAGCCACTTGCGGTGCGGCAAATTTTCAAAAAATAGCAAGGTGGCTGTGAATCTTCACTAAAAATTGATACATGATATGATTTCAGACACTATATTTTCGTCGTATATAATGTTAGTGGTCGGCAGATGTTTGAGGCACGAGCTTATATTGAAAAGAAGAAAAGCCAATGATTGACTGCGAAAATGTGTTCTTTGCGTTAGCATAAACTTTTTTCTCACTGTAAATTTATTTTGACTTTTAAACGGCAATGCGCTGCCTCGTTGCGCGTGATCCCTTATAATAATATCAAATTCTTATTGGACAATTATTTGTTCGGGAGAGAGATCATGGAGAACAAGTGTGGATTGTCTTTGTTGTTGGTCATCATTGCTTAGAACTTAATTCGAGTAGAAAATGTCGTCGTGTTGGAATGGCATATCTACTGCCGTATTTCGCCATTTGTGTCATGAACTGTCCAATTGCTCTCTATTCTAGTCCAGTTTGGGCTTGCTCAATGCTATACCCTGCAATGGTAAGAAGATTTTCGTTTACCGTGTTTGCATAGAAAGTTGCCTGCCTATTGTGCATGATATTTTCTGCAACTGGAGGCGTATATTTATGTGTGAGACGCCAGCGGCGACATCTCGTGCTGAACATCTTCAACAAGCCCCAAGTGACCCGGGCCATTGTGTGGTGGAGCACCAGGGGTCACCAATCGAATTACATTCTGCCTTAATAACTCTGAAGGAATGTAAGCTATCGCACTTGGCCATCTGGTGGAGGAAGCCATAAGCTTGTGAGCCTCGACGGCCTCGTGATCAACTAAGTATATATAGTGGCCGTGGGTGAACACTAACACCATCGCTCGCTTGACTTTCACTCGCCGCATTTGCGTGCGTTTCTGCCCACCAAAAATCTTCGTGGCAGTGACGGATTCTGCAAAATGAAAGTTCATCGTAAGCCCATTATTTTATTTTTTTTTAATTTCATCTTCATTATTTATTTTTTCAATGCCAAATCACAGATATAAAGTATAAATGTACGAGTATCAAAGTCATGTTCCAACAAGTATGTCGAAGTTTCTTCCTCGTGCGCCAGTTGTCGAGATAACGTCAGCTCCTCGACAATTGCCTGCTAGGCGGTCGCTAGAATTGCCTCTGATTCTTGCCTAGATTGGCTGTTAATCAGCGCAAATTTCGTGACTTTCTGCTGGCCATATATATATAATAGGCATGGTTACACCGAGCAAATTATGCGGTGCCTGCCATGTAGGCCGATGGTGACCTTGTTCTGATATGTTGTTAGCAGAACGGCTTTTCTTGGTGAAATTCTGATCTAGGTGGTTACTGGTGTTCCCATTATGAATAAATATATCGTTTTTAATTTATTCAAAAAGTTTATAAATTTTCTTCTTAGATTATCAAGAATAAATTAAAAATATATCGCTTACTGTCTGAAATTCAGAATACATAAAAAAATATCCAGTATCCATTCATCCATTTGGCGGATTAAATGATTCGCCGTGAACCAAAAAACCGAATGTGAGTTAACAGACATAACACGAGTGAGATAAACACTAGATTACAATATCTCAATTATTTTGAGATGACTTGATGGCTACCAAGATTCTGGAGTTTTTCTGAACTTGAAAGAAGATATTTCGAATATTCCTGAGTTCTCAAAGAAGTGTTTCTTGTTGTGGTTATTATCCTGAGAATAATTTTGATACGTAAATTCCTTTCAGTGATAATTACACATCTTGAATCTCTAGTGGCAAATCCTACCTTTTTTAAATATTTTGAAAGAAGACCTCCTCGGTGCTCCTTGATTTTAAAAATAGAATACCCTTCACATTTTCCCTAAGTTGCACCGGCTCTTCGTCGCGCGGGGTCCTTCGGCGCGCGGGGTCCTTCGTCGCGCGGGGTCCTTCGTCGCGCGGGGTCCTTCGTCGCGCGGGGTCCTTCGTCGCGCGGGGTCCTTCGTCGCGCGGGGTCCTCCGGCGCGCGGGGTCCTCCGGCGCGCGGGGTTTCGGCGCGCGTGGTCCTTCGGCGCGCGTGGTCCTTCGGCGCGCGGGGTCCTTCGGCGCGCGGGGTCCTTCGGCGCGCGTGGTCCTTCGGCGCGCGGGGTCCTTCGGCACGCGGGGTCCTCCGGCGCGCGGGGTCCTTCGGCGCGCGGGGTCCTTCGGCACGCGGGATCCTCCGGCGCGCTACAATCATCATGCTACAAATGGTTGCTTACAATTGGCAACCATGATAAACTGCAAACCAAAAATACCATTAAGAACAATGCTAAGCTCATCATTATCATCATAATTAGGAATTTATTTCCAGCTGAGATTATACACGTGCCTTGATTCCACTTCCCGAGGATGGTGCGACAGACTCACATTAACCGTTTGTGTACTGACAGGACCTCTCGGTCTCAGGCCTCTATGCATAGATAACATTAACGACGTTAAATTTATCCGTACATAAATGGTGATATATTCCGCCGTACACGTGACCTCGCGTTACCATAAACAACGACACCTCCTGTCGGCTGGCAGGTGTCGGAGGCATGCAAGGATGTCAGTGACTTTAGAAGACGCCTCAGAATATTACACGCCTCGTCAAATAAAAGACGGCGGGCCAAATAAAAGCCCTACTGATTAGCCTGCAATGTGCTGTTCATTAGTGGCAGGCAAACGCCAGTCGGCCTGTCACCGATGATTCCATCAGGATTTACGAGAGAGCAACAGAAGCAAGTTACAGAGCCGATGCTTGAAAAACACCAGGTCTCATTGTAGGCATGGAACGTCTCCTATTTTGATTCCAAGTTTTATGTCATGTTTCATGATGTTTGCATATATATTCTCATGCAGGTAGACAATTATCCAATTCACGGTATTTTTCGCCTTGGCGCGCGTTTCGTGGAATTTGCGCAGTGAATGTACACACTTCCTAAGTCCATTCCGTATAAGACTTTTTCATAATCCATGTGAAAAATTCATGCATTACCATTGATAATAAAACCCCCGCCGTGCATCCATGGCATATCACGTGCGTTAACGCGCCATAACACATAACAGCGCTGAGGGGGAACACTCATGCCATAACAGCGCTGAGAGGAACACTCATGCCATAACAGCGCTGAGAGGGAACACTCATGCCATAACAGCGCTGAGAGGAACATTGAGAGGAACACTCATGCCATAACAGCGCTGAGAGGAACACTCATGCCATAACAGCCATGAGAGGAATACTCATGCCATAACAGCCATGAGAAGAACACTCATGCCATAACAGCGCTGAGAGGGAACACTCATGGCATAACAGCCATGAGAGGAACACTCATGCCATAACAACAAACATTTTTCAATCTCCAAAGTACGTAGCAAAGATATTTATGATATACTAATGTTTTCTATTATATGTTAATGTCCTTATTATTTGATACTGGCTCTTGCGCAGATATTCATCATGTTCATGAATGTGTTCTAATCATCATAACATTTGTTGTGCAGGCTGCTGAACGCGAACATGATCACCTGCCTCCGACGCGACGTCTTCGCCGACCTGCGCAGCCTCAACCTCCTGTGAGTACCCCACGTCTACGCCTGTCATTATACGTCTACGCCTGTCATTATACGTCTATTGCATTACGTGTTTGTTATTACACGTCTATGTCACTACGTCTATTTAATTACGTCTATGTTGTTGTTGTACTTGTCCATCCTGGTAGTGGCGACTAGGTAAAGGAGGGGGGTTATAGGGAGGTACGTCTATGTCACCATACGTATGTCACTATACACGTCTATTTCATTACGCGTATGTTACTACGGCTATGTCACTATGTCTATTTTTTACGCCCGTGTCACTAGACGTCTATTTAATTACGTCTATGTCACAATACGTACCTATATGTCACCACACGTCTATTTCATTACGCGTATGTTACTACGGCTACGTCACTATGTCTATTTTCTACGCCCGTGTCACTACGTCTATGTCACTACGTACATGTCACTATATACGGCTCTATGTCATTGTGTTGATTTAAATCGACTCCCTTCATGCACAATGCACACAGGCACAAATAGGTGAAAAGTCAAACTATTATTCAAAATTTTGATGGGTAATTTGAGTGTTTATTCATGCATCCGTTGAATTTACTTTTGACAATTCATGCGTCCATTAGAATTCGAGTTGTCTATCTATGCGTCCGCTGAATTCGAATTTGACCGTTCACGGATCCACATTGAAGTTTGAGTTTTGAATCATGAGTACATTAACATAATTTTTTTTCATATGTCAGTTAATTTATAATCCTCGTTGATTTATACATTCTAGCAAGTATACAACAACACATCCACGCCTACGGTAAATCTAAAATCGTTTGTGCATATTTAATATTTAGAATAGTCCATTGATGCGTTTTATTATTCTACATTATTTTTCTATATATGAGTTTATATTATAGACTCAGGCTCCTGTTCAGTTTAGACTATAGTCAACTCTTGCATCGTTGATTGATGGGTTTATTAATTCATGCGTCATTAAATTTTCGATTTATTTATTCAAGCATCTCTTCATTCTAAAGTATACGCTTCACGAATCTTCCACATTCGAAGTTGACAATCGACGTGTTTTTCTATCTTGAACGACAGACAAATCCTTTCAATTTCCACTTGTTTATACACGAGTTCCTGCAATTTAGCCTTAATGCTGCTCCTTATGGAGCGCTGGGTTTTTTGAGGGGACGCCATGTGAGCCTTATGTGCTAATGACAATCAAGCCCAGATGGTTGTGGGCTTAGCAGTTAGCACGCTAGGTTCAGCCATGACAATTTTTCTTTTTGGTTTATGATGACAAAATCCCCTAAGGTTTAGTACACGATTCGTGGTCATCACACCTGTGAGCTACGTGGAGGCAACAATGGTTGCAAAGTATGTTGCAAAGGCGGTTATCATTCACACTAGTACGCGTTAAAAAAAATCTTAAAAATCCTAATACAGTGCGCACAATTTCATCCACCGTGAATCTACACGAGTTCTGGAAATTTTAATAACACAATGACTGACCAAAAATCAGATCATATTTTCAAGTTATTTCAAATATCGACCATGCAGTTTCTGAGTCGTCGCGTTTGTCTAGACTCATCAAAAATGGAGGTGCTATGAGGAACCGAACTGGGAATTAACATAACGGCTACCGATCTGTTGATATAATCTCTCTGGACCTTAGCGCCACGGCAGTGTGTATCAATAAATGTACGCGTGCTTCTTTAATTCAACAGCTACTGCCGCATCAATTATCCAGAAGCGGCACTGCTTAGCTTAAGAACTCGACCGTTTTGCTTCACCAGCGTTGAGCCATCGGCCCGTAACTGTAAGGGTACGCACACAGTGAAAGCAGGTTTGCCCGCGCGGGCAACCTGCTCCAACCTGCCACAACCACAAGAATGAACATAGGATAATAATGTAAGTGTTCACAGTGAAAACCTGTACGAATAGGCTTCTGTATTCTATGGTTTCAGGCGTCAGCCTGAGCAGGTAACCAGCACGCTGGCAACCTGCTTTCACTGTGTGCGTACCCTATATTCGCTATATTCATGGAACCTCCGATGTGTAGCTGCCAAAAAATTACTAATAATTGTGATTATAATTCTGAACGATGTATTGAAATATGAATGCTTACCGCTCACATTCCATGAAAGCCACAATGAGTGCAAGTGAATTTTGAAGCATGCATTGATTTCGATTCGAAATAAAATACTGCAGACAACTACATGGACGTCACTTAAAATGATTCAGGTAGGAAAAAAATTGTTTTTTCTTGACCATCTCAACATTTTCGTCCTGAATATTTTGACACTTTTGGAGAAATGTTAAGTTTTCATAGCGGCGCAAAAATACTGGATGAATCCCTTTTGTTTTTAGTAAAAACAAAAATAAACTTCACTCGCTAGTCGTTAAATTCAACATGGCTTTAAAAATTCTCGCCTGCCTGCGTTGACAAATGTGTACTTTGGAGACATCGACTTGTCGAGTTTGGTCGCGAGAAGATGACATTACTGCGGCAAGATCGCCGACAAGTGGCCTCTAATGACGGTCGCAGGCTCGTTAAACCGACTGAAGACCTGCGATAAAACGAGGCTGCATGTCGCTCTCTAGGCCCAGTGGTGACACTCGACTTTTTCATTGCACAGCAAAACAACGTCTCGGTCAGGCAAAATTTCAGACCTCTGCCTTCGCTGAGTTACGAGTATAATTGGAGAACGTCGCCTGCTGGTTGGAGATAAATAGCTGCTGATGCCGGCCGCGGGGCTGCGGTGAGACTTAATTGTACATCGATGGCATCTCTTGTTTGGCTTTATTGTTACGGTACTCCAATGTACAATGAACGTATATGGTATCGGGGCTCCGTTTGCTCAATGATTCTTGTTTTTACTGATGCTACTTCTAGGAGCTGGAATTTTTGCTATTGGTTGTATAGTTCAAATTCTGTAGGGATAATCATGGGGAAATTTCGTCACACGGAAAATACGAAACAATGAAAACGTCGTGAAGGGCGATAAACTTGAGTGAAGTTTAAAGTCTATTCACTATACCATCAGAGTATATTTTGTCTTCTTACGACAATGAATATCTTTCAATATTTCATAGCTTGAATTCATGACATCATTCAATGATTCACTATTTAAGACGTTAACTGTGATATGTCGGCTTGCTATTGATTTCTGATGATTCATCAATTGTCGGAGCCGCCACGTAAATGTCACGCGCTGCATCCATTTAAGGTCAAGACTGGCATGGTCTCCCCTCAAATGGGTTCGACACGAAGAACTGGCATTATAAATTGATTGGATGTACCCGGGGATAATAAATTCTACAATGACCTAAGATCCCCAGAAAATTGTTCATGCATGTACAATAATAATTGTTATCGCAGCCTACAGTGTTGTCAGCATTGATTAATTCGGCTCCTTTATTTATTTATTTAGCGCCGATTCATAGCCAGCGGGCCACCTTGCCGATTTCGACCAGCGTATTTCAATTTTCACAAGTTGCTGGTTTCGAACCCGTAACTCGTTGTTCCAATCTTTTGGTTTTAAACACTCGGCCGCCTCAAGCTTAATTAAAATGAGGATAATAGAATCGAATGCCATATGAGTGTTGGTATAGGATAACGCAGGACGAATATCACGAATGACGATGAATGTCGTGAATGGTTCAAGGCGAAGGTGATGGCTGTAATTAATATACTGCTTAGCTCAGCAACCTAATGCCTGCGAACGAGAGGCGCATTAGTGACTTGTTTGCCTTTAATTCATCATGTCTAAACTTAACACATTGATGGACAAGCAACCTAAAATGGCATGAACACGTAGTGAGGTAGTATGTCTTATGACTTAATCAATTACACGTTATTGAAATCACAACTATTTGATTGACCTAGAATAATTGAATTAAATTGTGTTAACATGTTATCCACAAATCAAATGAAAAAACAAACCGTGTTCATGGGTCGTCGTTGCTTTGCAAGACATGCCGTTGATCTGCAAGGAATATCTCTTGATAAATTTAACACAAAATGAACCCAGGAACTGGTTACGGTTGTAGTATTGCTTCATGGTTATCCGAGACGAATTAACGTGTCTATATATACTATTAAAGGTAAATTTATTCTATCTTTTATCCAAGAAATTCCGGGCAAGGCCACCATGGCTGATTCAGCTTGATAACCGTTAAGGCCTTTACACGCATTAGAGCTTGCGTTGGCTGCGCTTGTTCACGTCAATTTTAAACCGTTACGCTTATACAGGGTGGAGCGCGGTAATTTGCTTATTTGCACTGCATGCTGTGGCGGCACTGACGGTCGAAGACAGAGGAGAGTGGTCGTGGCTTACAGTGGATGGCGGGAAATTTGTATTCGTCCGGCTCTCAGTTGCCATCATGCAGTGGACACGTTAGGAGAGGTCATTTTGTGTAGAAGCGTATTTTTCAAATGCCCACTCGATCATTGCAGTGCAGCGTGCTTTTCGTTAACGATTCGCTGTTCCTTCACGCGGACGTGTTCCTGGACGGCAATCAATTGTAAATTGGGTGAATGCATTCAGAACAGCAGGGAATGTGTCATGTCTACGAAGGGGACCTGAGAGAAGGATTACAACACCACAAAACATCGAGAGAGTTAGAGCAGCAGTACTGCAATCTCCGAAACGCTCTGCTCGGAAGCAATCATTTGCTCTTGGCATTTGTCTATGTCCATTTGTCTATGATGCAGGATTATTTTCAGCCAGCTCATGAGGCAATGGAATTAGAGGATACATGGTTCCAACAGGATGGTGCCACTGCACACATTGCAAGGGTTACCATGAATTGTTTGAGGCAAGTGTTTCCTGGATGGCTTATCTCTGTGAGGGGTGATGTGACCTGGCCAGCACGCTCACTAGATTTAGCCCCCATGCAATTTTTTTCTTTGGGGTTGCCTGAAGTCTAAGGTGTATATCAACCGCCCCAACACCTTGGAAGACCTAAGGAACAATATTGAAGCTGAAATTGGCAGAATACCAGCGGGCATGCTTGTTAGAGTT